GAGAGGAGGAAGCTAAACAGCGTGAAGAGGCTCTTAATAGAGATATTGGAAAATCATCTAAAATTAAAAAGGAAACTTCGGTCCCTCGGGAAGTTCAAGATGATGAAGATTGGAATGTTATCGATAAAAATGAGGATACTAGTGATGATGATTTTACAGTTCCACCACCAACGGTCTCCTCTACTACTAAATCGGCTATATTTAAACCATCGTCAAATATTCCAGTTGCTCCTCCAGCACCACCATCAAATATTCCAGTTACTCCTCCGGCACCACCATCAAATATTCCAGTTGCTCCTCCAATGCCAACGTCAAATATTCCATCAGCACCACCATTACCTCCCTCTTCAAATATTCCATCAGCACCACCATTGCCACCTTCTTCAAATATTCCATCAGCGCCGCCATTGCCACCTTCAAATATTCCATCAGCGCCACCATTGCCACCCTCAAATATTCCATCAGCGCCACCATTACCGCCGCCTTCATCAAACATTCCATCAGCGCCACCATTGCCACCACCTACTTCTGTTTTGTCACAGACTCCAACGTTACAACCACAGATAGCAATGCAGCCATCAGGCGCACGAAATGCGTTGTTAAGCCAAATTCAACAAGGCAAAAAATTAAGACCAACACAGACTAATGATCGATCATCACCTCTTGTTGCAGGTAGATTATTAATTAAAATTTTTCATGCTTGTACTGCACTTTTTTCTTAGAAGCTTTATAATAATGCATATTAGGTAGGGCCAATACCTCCCCTTCCGCACCAGGCCTTTCCTCCGATGCGTCTGTACCTAGCACCGGCCGCGTTGGTCTAGGTGCATTGTTTGCTGGCGGTATACCAAAGCTTCAGAGTCGTGGAGGGATTGAAACTGGTCGCTCAGCTACTGAGGACACCCGACCCACAACTAATTCTCGGCAAAGAACAATTTTAAAAGCTGATCGTAGGATTTCAGCAGATTTATTTGGTAGTTTGGCTTCTGATCAGCTTGCAAGTGAAGGAAAACTTTCGGCACCTACTACCCCCGACATAACTCATACAACATCTAGTGAAAGTAAAGACTATTTGCGTTCCGCCGATGAATCATCAAGTTTCGTAGAATCGCCAACTACCACTTCATCTTCCGAAATTGATGTGGATTTTACACAAGAATTTCGTGTTAAATCTCTCTATCCTTATTCTGGTACTGGTGGTGTAGATGACCTTCAGTTTGAGGCTGGAATTTCTTTCTTAGCACATCCATCCAAAACTCAATCAAATGCAGACTGGTGGTATGGTGTGATTGAGAAAACTGGTACAAAAGGCTGGTTTCCCAAATCATATGTTGAATTATTTAAAGAAGGTACAATAGAGGAAAATTATTTACAATCATCTGTTCAAATTATTTTTTCATTTTTAGTAATTTTATATTTATTTTATAATTTAGAAAAAGAAATCTGTAAAGCGAAGGTCTTGTATGAATGGAAGGCACAAGCTCCCGACCAGCTTGACATTAAACAGGGTATTGTTGTTTCTATACTCGACAAGTCCTTAGGTGATTGGTGGAAGGCGGAATATGAAGGCGCTAAAGGAATTATTCCAGCAAATTATGTCGAAGAAATTTCTAGTTATAGCGGTTAGTGTTTGACTTTAATATTGTTGATGTACATGAAT